CATAGCGTTTTGCTTTTAGGCCAAAAAGTTCACTTTTGGTCTCATCTGACCAGAGCACCTTCTTCCACATTTTCTGTGTCCCCCCACATGGCTTCTCACAAACTGAAAATGGGAATTCTTATGGCTTTCTTTCAACAATGGCTTTCTTATTGCCACTCTTCTATAAAGGCCAGATTTGTGGAGTGCACGACTAATAGTTGTCCTGTGGACAGATTCTCCCACCTGAGCTGTGGATCTCTGCAGCTCCTCCAGAGTTACCATGGGCCTCTTGGCTGCTTCTTTGATTAATGCTCTCCTTACCTGGACTGTCAGTTTAGGTGGATGGCCATGTTTTGGTAGGTTTGCAGTTGTGCCATACTCTTTCCATTTTCAGATGATGGATTGAATAGTGCTTGTGAGATGTTCAAAGCTTGGGCTATTTTTTTTTAATAACCTAACCCTACTTTAAACTTATCCACAACTTTATCCCTGATCTGTCTGGGTGATCCTTGGCTTTCATGATGCTGTTTGTTCACTAATCTTCTCTAACAAACATCTGAGGGCTTCACAGAACAGCTGTATTTATACTGAGATTAAATTACACACAGGTGGAGTATATTTACTAATTAGGTGACTTTTGAAGTCAATTGGCTCCATTAGATTTTAGTTAGGGGTATCAGAGTAAAGGGGGCTGAATAAAAATGCACACCACACTTTTCAGATATTTATTTGTAAACAATTTTGAAAAACATTTATCATTTTCATTCCACTTCAAAATGGCACAATCATGTATCATTTTGTGTTGGTCTATCACATAAAATCTCAATAAATTACATTTACGTTTTTGGTTGTAACATGACGAAATGTGGAAAATGTATTTTTCAAGGCTCTGTATTCATATATCATACAGTATATGTGTATATAGGTGCATGTAGGTATAGAGGTTGTAACTATTTCATTTAGGTGTTCATGACTGCTTCCTACCCTGCCCCCTAATTCTATAAGTTTGTTGATAAATGTAACTTTATCAAATAAATGTATTTTAAAGAACACCTTGGTCTTGGTAATCCGTTTTGATAAAATGTCTTGCCTGTATGTAAAATAAAATGTACTTACCCAAGTAACATACAGTATAAAGGTACCCTCTGAAGAGATAAGTATGTGTTCTTCCTCAGATCCCCTTAACATTTATCAGCAGGGCTGTCCTGAATTTCTCAATGGCAGCACTGACATGTTCACTCAGAAAACCCCAGTCTACCACTAATATAGGCAGAGTTACAGCAAGCAATGTAGTCCATTACCTAATGTACCTCCACTCCTGGCATCACATCACCTTTCCTCTGTTCCCTTGCTGTTCTGTTTGGCTGCCAGTAGAAAGAGAAGTCACCCTGTGTAACTTATATTTTGCTCAAGGCTTTGCCTGCACAGGGCCATGGATTCTCCCCATTTCAAGAATTCAGGTTCTTTGGGAAATGGCACATTACCACATAGAAAGAGCTACACACTACTCCATACCTTGAGGTACCATGTATCCTCTTCAATGCCTTCTACAGGTTTACCTTAAATTAAAAGAAGTGTATAGAAAGTTAATGGATAGAGAATTATCATTATGATTGATATACAGTCAGGTCCATAAATATTGGGACATCGACACAATTCTAACATTTTTGGCTCTATACACCACCACAATGGATTTGAAATGAAACAAACAAGATGTGCTTTAACTGCAGACTGTCAGCTTTAATTTGAGGGTATTTACATCCAAATCAGGTGAACGGTGTAGGAATTACAACAGTTTTCATATGTGCCTCCCACTTGTTAAGGGACCAAAAGTAATGGGACAATTGGCTTCTCAGCTGTTCCATGGCCAGGTGTGTGTGTTATTCCCTCATTATCCCAATTATAATGAGCAGATAAAAGGTCCAGAGTTCATTTCAAGTGTGCTATTTGCATTTGGAATCTGTTGCTGTCAACTCTCAAGATGAGATCCAAAGAGCTGTCACTATCAGTGAAGCAAGCCATCATTAGGCTGAAAAAAAAACAAACAAACCCATCAGAGAGATAGCAAAATCCATTGTGGTGGTGTATAGAGCCAAAAATGTTAGAATTGTGTCGATGTCCCAATATTTATGGACCTGACAATATATATATATATATATATATATATATATATATATATATATATATAATTTACTCACAGGGAGAACATGTAAACTCCATGCAGACAGTGTCTGACAGGAAACTCCAGAGTTGCATGGCAGTGCTGACCATTAAGCCACGGTGCTGCCCTATATATCTTGTGCATTCTTATAAGTGATATTTCTGTATATCAGCCTATCTTGTATTATATTAATTAATTGTATAACCAGCATACATGCCTACAAAAATCATCTTCTGTGCCTTTCTTTTCTCTTATTACAGAGGGGAATTCCCCACCTACTGCTTTTGCTCGCAGTGGAGGAATGGTTGTGATTACAGTTCTGTTATCTATTGCAATGTTGTTGCTGGTTGTTGGTTTGATTGTAATACTTGCACTGGGGGGAAGTGGCAAGAAATGAAAGTCCGATGGCCATGTGAATGAACCTTCACTAGATGAAACAAGGATCCATCCATGCACCGTGACATAATCTCAATGAAGGGTGTGATACATTTGTAATTTTTGTGTATGTATTCTAACCAAAGTTTTGTGTAAATAGTTTTTCTAATTCTTGTTTTTTCATACCAAATATTAACTGTTTATAATTGAAAGAAGTAGGCAATTATGTATTTTAAATTAGATTTAAATTGTCTGTTTAAGGGCTTGTTTACATTTGTGGCTGCCCTTGCTACTCCTCTGAAAAGCAATCCACAGTGGATTGCTTTACAGAAGGCATTTATATGCAAATGGAAGGAGATATGTCACCTCTTCACCACCAGTTTTAACCCTGCACACCACCGAGCCAAGATGTTTGCGGCCCAGTGCTATTCACTTAAATAGGTTGCATTCGGTGGCACTACAACCTGGTGAATGCATTAGAGGATATAATATTTGCCACAGCTGAAGTAGGTGTACAACCCCCTTCATTTTGGGTTGGGGGACTGGTTAGGGGGCAGTAAAACCACGGCTCAACCACCAATTTTCACGGTCCCTTGACGCGAGTGTAAACTAGGCCTTAAAGCACATAAACATTGAACAGTGTGTTGATAATGCAATAAATATATACATAAAAGTGCAGCGCTTAAAAAGTAACAAATAATCATAACAGTGAAAAAATGTGTCAAAAAAATACTACATCCAGAAATAAAAGAATAAGTCCCAGAGGCTGAGATGAAACAAAAGAAATCCAAGGACAGTTGTTGTGTCACCAACCACTACTACAGAAGGCTTACCAGAAAGGCATGACCCCCTGTTAAGAGTGATCAATCACGCTTTGTTAAACAATCCAGAAAGCTGGTCACTGGAATCCTCCTCCATATATATATATCACCATATATATATATATCACCAAAACAGCAGATAAGGATCTTCCATACAATGGACCTTAATTAGGGTAGCTAAACCATTCAGCTAAGCCATAAGTCTTGGACTCTTAGTGGAAAACAATTCTTAGATGTGATGGCTGCTTGAGTTTTCTTTTTTTAGGCTTTCTTTCTTCTATTCTCACCTGGTGATCCTGCCAGTATGTCTGATCTTTTTCAACAGAACAAGCTATCCTAAAGCTGTAGCATTTAGAGCAGTGGTTCTTAACCTTGTTGGAGGTACTGAACCCCACCAGTTTCATATGCGCATTCACCGAACCCTTCTTAATTGGAAAAATAAAATATGATTTTTAAAATTCAAAACATAGGTATATTTAGGTATATATATTTATATATAGGTGCACAAAATGAACAAAACCGTTAAGAACAAAGAACAAAACCATTAAAACATGATTTTCACACAAAAACAAAAACATAATAATGAATATTTACTGCACGAATCATATGAGTAGGGTGTGTGAGTCTTCTCGCGAACCCGCGAGACTGACTCACCGAACCCCTGGGGTTCGATCGAACCCAGGTTAAGAACCACTGATTTAGAGGGTTGAGGCAAACCATTTACCAGTGACAGGAAAATTGTAATTATTTGTAACTTTTTAAGCGCTGCACTTTTATGTATTTATTGTTGATTACCTAGTATCAGGTTTTTGTGTTCAGCTGCTATATGTTTTACACCTCATTTTTGATTATTGATTATCTATTGTGGTTCTTATTAGCGCCGCAGGCTTATATATATTTAATGTAATAAATATACTGGACAACTCAGTTGTAAGTATTCTTTATTATTGAAAATAATATTTGTTATCTTCAATGAGTAAACGTCCTACATTCTGTTCTTGTGGAATAAAATGTAAAAAATATAAACAACCAGACCAGATCTTATCCTGAATTAGATGAAAATCTCAGCAGCTATGACTCTGACCATATACTGTATTTAGGTGAAGTTGTTATCTTAGATGTTCCAAAAAAAATAAATAAAGGAGATAAAAATATTTTCTGGGGATTCATGATCAGGTTTGACATACACACTGGTACTCTGCATACATGTGACTATTGTCTTTTTAAAGTGTACATCAAATTTATTTTTTACAGTTTTGAATAGAGTTGGGAGGGATTAGAACCTCAATTGGGTTTTTACTGCTATCCAAGATTCTGTTCAAGATTCCACCTGAATTCCTGTTTTGTTGGCAACAGTTTCACTTCACAGGAAGTGATGGAAATTCTGCAACAAGGACACAGACAAAACCATCTAGCAGGGGTTCTAGCCTTCGCCTGCTTTACTGAAGGAAATATTTTTATTTCTGCTTCTGTGGCTGTTGAAGAATACATCTACTTCCTGTATGGTAAAATGGACGGATGGTTAGGACAGGAAGTGAAGAGAGATCCCGTACACTTTTTTTTAAAACAGTGGTCTCCAAATTGTGGCCAGGTGGCTGGTTGTGGCCCTTTGCATTGCTTTATCCGGCCCGTGGGGCACTTTTCCTTCCGCTGATACAAAACACTATTTCCCCCCCATCTACACCAACTATTCCCCCCCCACCAGCACCAATGATGCGGCACTGTTCCCCCCACCCACACCAACGATGGGGCACTAATCCCCCCACTGACACCAACGATGGGGCACTATTCCCCCCCCACTGACACCAACGATGGGGCACTATTCCACCCACCCACACTAGTGATGGGGCCCTATTCCCCCCACTGACACTAATGATGGGACACTATTCCACCCACCGACACCAACGATGGGACACAATTCCCCCATTGACACCAACGATGGGGCACTATTCCACCCACCAACAATGGGGCACTATTTCCCCCCACTGACACCGACGATGGGGCATATTTCCCCTGCTGACACCAAGGATAGGGCACTATTCCACCCACCAACACCAACAATGAGGCACTATTCCCCCCCCCACCCAGCACCAATGATGAGCACTATTCCTCCCTCCCACTGATACCAATGATGAGGTAATATTCCCCCCACCAACACCAATGATGGGGTACTGTTCCTCCCACCAACACCAACATTGGTGCACTATTCCCCCTACTGACACCAACGATGGGGCACTATTCCACCCACTGACACCAACGATGGGGCACTATTCCTCCACTGACACCAACAATAGGGCACTATTCCACGCATTGATACCAACGATGGGGCACTATTCATCCACAGACACTGATGAGGCACTATTCCTCGCACTGACACCAACAAAGGTGAACATTTTACTCCCACTGACGCCAGAACAATTTCTATTCCCACTGGTCACAGTTCCCTCTAGGCTCCCTAAAGTCTGAAGGACAGTAAACTGGTCCTTTGTTTAGAAAGTTTGGAGACCTCTGTTTTAAAAGCATGGTATCTTATTAAAGTGGCATTAAACCCAAAAACAAAAATGTATTATATAGCAGATTACCAATCATTGTGGTGGCTGCATCATTTTCCTTTTCTTTGGCTTTTTTCTCCTATGTTTTCAACTGGTGATCAGGCCAGCAGGGCTATCAGGTATCACCGACCCTCTTGTAGGTGGCCCGGGCACACAGGGGAACCCGGACAGCAGGGGCATCAGTGGGGCAGGGGAGGGCAATTGCAGAACGATGCCCTGTGTATCTCTCCCTGCAGCTCCTGCTGGTTTTCAGCAAATGGAGGGAGACACAGACATGGCTGGATCTAGGGGGGGGTGCTGGGGTGAACTGTGTTTGCCCAGAATAAAGTTGTGCCCTCCCAGGCCGGCCCTCCCTTGGATGTTGTGCCTGAGTGGCTGGTGAGCCCCTTCCTCCATCCCAACCCACATTCAGAGCCGGGACAAGGGGATGGCAGCCTGGGGCAGTAAAAGGAGAAGTGGCGGAGAGGAAAGAGCCAGGAGGTGTGCTGTGTTGTGCTCTCAGGGCTCTCTCCTCCGGTCAGAACAGTGCACGTCCATACATAATAAGACAGGATCGCTCTTAGATCGCATTGAACTGTACCCACACACACAGTTTGATTACCGCCCCCTATCTACTCCAAGGACTGCTCATCTCTTAGCAGCAGAAAAATGTGGCTAGGGGCGGTAATCAAACTATGTGTGTATACAGTCCGATGCAATCTAAAGCCTAGTACACAAGGGCCAAATTTCGGGCAGCATTGGCCGGTTCAACAGAAACCGGCAGACATTTAGCCTGTGTGAATGGCAGCCGGCCCAGCTTCTGTCAAAGGGGCATGACCCAAAAAAATCAGCATAGAGGTGGTATTGGAAGCCATGGGAGGTTATCAGTTGGCCCAGGGGGAGGAGGTATAGAGAGAGAAAAGGAGGGGCCCAAGAACAGAACCTTGGGGTACCCCAACAGAAAGAGGAAGTGGAGCGGAGGAGGAGGAGTTGTATGTGACACTGAAAGTGCGCTGAGAAAGGTAAGAGGAGAACAAGGAGAGAGCAGAGTCACAGAGGCCGATGGAGTGGAGTTTGCTGAGGAGGAGTGGGTGGTCGACTATGTCAAAGGCAGCGGAAAGGTCAAGGAGTATGAGTATGGAGTAATGGCCGTTGGTTTTAGCAGTTAGTAGGTCATTAATGAGTTTTAGTAGGGCAGTTTCTGTGGAATGTTGTGGGCGGAAGCCAGACTATCGAGGATCAAGAAGGTTGTTGTCGGTGAGGCAGCAGCTCATACGTTTGTGAACAAGGTGCTCAAGAAGCTTGGAGGCAAACGGGAGCAGGGAGATGGGTCTTAACCTCTTGCCGTCCGCCTGCTGTTTATAAACGGCAGGGCGGGTGGCAGTCCAAGGTCGGGTTGCCGTTCCTAAACGGCACCCGCCTTTTCTAGCTGTGCGCGCTCCCTAGGAGCGCGCACCACCGTGATCGGTGTCCGCTGTGTCCTCCGGACACAGTGAAACACCGATCGTCGGAGGGGACCTCTGTACGAGGTCCCGGTCATGTGATCACTGATTGGCGAATCAGTGATCACATGCAAAGTAGTAAGCAAGATGTCACTTGTGACATCATTGCTTACTACGTGTGAAATCTGTGAATGATCACAGAGGTCACATGGTACAAGGCTATTCACAACAGCCTTGTACCATGTGACAAGCTGTGACCAATCACAGCTCACTCAGTATTTCTCAATGACTGCAAGAATGCAGACAGAGAGAAAGAGAAATGATTGCTTTTACATCCTATATGAGTGTAAAAGCAATCAGTGTAAAAAAAAAAAAAAAATCTTCATCACCCCCACAAGTAGTACAGTGTCACCATGGTGACACTGTACTGCTAGGGTGACAGTATGTAAAAATAAAAAATAAAAAAAATAATATAAAAAAAATAAAATAAAAATGTAAAAAAAAATGTTTAAAAATTATAATGTTTGGTTATAAACTAATTTGGATTTTTTTTTTTTTTACTAAAAAAATAACGGAATAAATTTTGGCCAAGATTTAGGATGAAATATTATTTATTTGCAAAATTTTATTAAAAAAAAAAACACTTTTTTTCAAAATTTTTGGACTTTTTCATTTACATAGTAAAAAAAATAAAAATCCCAGCGGTGAATAAATACCACCAAAATAAAGCTTTATCTGTCTCAAAAAAATGGTAAAAAATTCATATGGGTACAGTATTGCATGACCGCCCAATTGTCATTCAAAGTGTGATAGCGCTGAAAGCTGAAAATTGCCCTGGACAGGAAGGGGGTAAAAGTGTCCGGACAGGAAGTGGTTAAGTTATTCAAACAGGTGGGGTCCAGTGAGGGTTTTTTGAGAATGGGGGTAACCAGTGCATGCTTGAGCGGGGAGGGAAAGGTGCCCATGGAGAGTGAGAGGTTGAAGATGTGGGTAAGAGAGTTTAAGATAGAGCAGGAAGGAGGCTGCAACAGTCGTGAGGGGACAGGATCCAGGGGACAGGTGGTGAAGTGGGCCTTGGAAAGGAGTTCGGTAACTTCCTTGGTGGTAACAAGGTCGAAGGAGGAGAGTTGAGTTTGGTGTTGGGCCTGGTATGTTGGTTAGAGGAGGAAGCTTGACACTGGAGATCTCATCACGAATTGTGTTGATCTTCTTCTTGAAGTGATTGGCAATCTCCTGTGCAGTAAGTAAGTTGGTGGGTGGAGGCAGTGGGGGTGGAGTAAGGAATTAAGGGAAGAGAAGAGTTGACGAGGATTGGGTGAGAGGGTCTTGATGAGAGTGTTATAGTAGGTTTGCTTAGCAGCATGGAGGCTGGAGTTGTATTTGAGAAGAGCGGATTTGTAGAGCGTAAAGTCTTTCAGGGATTTAGTTTTACGCCATGCTCGCTCAAGACTGCGGCTGCATCTCTTGAGACTTCTGGTGTCATCTGTTTGCCAGGGTTGTGACAGGCGAGGCCTGGTTCTGAGTGTAGAAAGAGGAGCAAGAGCGTCCAGGGAGGATGATAGATAGTTGTTGTAGGCAGATGTAGCCAGCTCTGGGCAGGACAGGGGGTGCAATTTCATCATAGAGGCGCTCAGTAGCGGAGTGGAGAAGGGCAGGGCTGAGGTGATGGAGGTTTCTACAGGTAACGGTTTGCTGGTTGGGAGGCATGGGAGGTAGGAGGCAGGGAGAGTGTGAAGCTGATAAAGTTGTGATCAGAGAGAGGAAAATGGGTGTTAGAGAGGTTACAGGGAGTGCATAGGTGGGTGAATAGAAGGTCAAGGGTGCTGCCATTGGAGTGGGTGGTGGATTGTGGCAATTGTGTTAGGTTAAAAGAGGAAGTTAGGTTGAGTAGTTGAGAGGTGGCAGGGGTGTGAACATTGACTGGGATGTTAAAGTCACCGAGGATGATGGCAGGCACCTCAGAGGAGAGAAAGTAAGGTAGCCATGCTGAAAAGTCATCGAGAAAGCGTGAAACTGGGCCCGGGGGCCAGTAGATGACTGCGATCCTCAGACACACAGGAGAAAAGAGACGAATACAGTGCACTTCAAAAGAGCAGAGGGACAGAGACGGAGGGGCAAGAAGAACCTGGAACGTGCTTTGTGGGGAAAGAAGAAGTCTGACTCCACCCCCTTTTCATCCGCTGGGTCTGGTCGAGTGAGTCCAGAGGAGGCCGCCATGGGAGAGTGCAGCTGAGGAGACAGAGTCAGAATCCTGGTGCCAGGTTTCAGTAATAGGAAGAAGGCTGAGGGGAGTGGGAGAGGAAGAGGTCATTGATAGTAGAGAGTTTGTTAGAGGCTGAGCGGACATTCCAGAGGGCACATAGGAGGGAGGGGTTGGTGTGTGGAAGCAGGGGAATTGAGATGAGAGAGTAAGGGTTGCAGCTGCGGCCAGAGAAGGGAGGCTGCTGCTTCTGTGGGTTGGAGTTTGATGGTGGAGGGCCAGGGTTTGGGGCAAAGTCTCCAGAAGTTAGTAGTACTAGGAGGGTGAGGGAGGTGAGGTGGGAGCAAGATTTATATGAGGGCAGATGCCACAGTGCTTTTGTAGCGGTGACATTATGTGGACCAAGAGAGGGCAGGAGATAAGTGCAGTGATATTTAGAGGGCAGAAGTGAGGGTGATATGTACAGGTTGTGTGGTAGGGAGGGAGGGGTAAACAAGAGAGAGTTTCAGAAGAGAGGGCTGCGACGGAAGGTAGGCAGGACAGAATACACAGAGTAGATGGCAAACCCACAAAGCTTTATTGAGGCAAACAGATGATAGTCACTGAATAGGGGAGTTCGCAGGGAGGGTGAATACGCCAGTAAAGGGCGACAAGGAGGGACCACCATACTTAAAGTCCAACACCGAGAGCCAAGGAAGAGACTCTGTAGCAATTGTAATCCAACAGGGGGGTGGTGTGGGGTCAGCACAGGACCAGTTCAAGTGAAGCAGGGAGAGAGAACATGTACTCACGGATCCAACAGGGTGTCTGGTCTCCCACTGGGGGTCTCTGGATCTCTGGTGGCTTGCAGGTAGTTTTCCCCTGCTCTGGGGTCTCTAGATCCCTGGTGGCTATCAGGCAGTCCTCCCCTGCTCTGGGGGTCTCTAGATCCCTGGTGGCTAGCAGGCAGTCTTCCCCTGCTCTGAGGGGGAGGGGGGGTCCTAGACAGGCTTGGGTCTCTGCAGAGTCTGGCCACGAAGGTCCTGCCGAAGCTCGGGCTCCTTCAGTGGCTGCACAGCGGTGAATTCCCCGGGAGCGCCCAGCATCAGCTTCTTAAGCTGATGTCGGACGCCCCCTAGGCAACCGGGCCGGGCCGGAGCTGGCGTGCCTCATTGCCCAGCAATGAGGCATGCCCCCTGGGACGGGGCCGCTCCTCTGTGAATGCGGCCATTGTCCAGGGACATCCGCAAGCACAGGAACTTCCCGTACAGGCGCCTCAGATGTCAGGGCTCGCGCGGCTCCAGCCTGTCCCAGGAATGGGACTACGCATCATTAAGACACATAGAGCCATGGCTTGGCCCGTACCCACTCTCTCATTGGCTGTGACTGACAGCAGCGGAGAGTCCCCATACAGATGCGGCTATTGTGAACATTCCTGGATCTGAGGGGGCTCAGGTAAGGATGGGGGGGGCGCTGCACACAGAATGCTTTTATAACCACTTTCATTGGCCAGGAAGCGCACTGAGGAAGAAATGTCCAGTGTGACCTCAGCACAGCACCGACTTCCGGGGTGCACAAATGAGGCACGGATGGTGCTACCCCCCAACAAGGTGTCTAGGACTCGCTGTATGAATTCCTCAGATTCCCTCCCCCACTGCTATGTTCCCAGCCAATTACTACTCTTCACCTGTAGGCCAACATTGAGCGTGTCATGTGACCAATCCCTTCATAAACACTGCAGTCACGTGCCGGCCTTTCAGGTCACGTGTAGAGCGGTACCCGGAAGTTGTGTCCTGTGAGGTGGTGATGGCGGGTGTATGAGTGTGCGGTGTGTCGGAGGACGGTATTCTATGGCCGGAGGAAGCATGTGTATGAGAGGGGGCACCGGGAAAGGCTGCAGGCTCTTCTTCACGCCTTTACCGAAAAGGTAATGGGAACGGGGGTGAGGCTGTACCGGAGCTCAGGGCTCTCCGTCGATCGGTCCCGGAGCTCAGGGCTCTCCATGTATCTCCCCTCAGGTAGAGGCCGCCCGGAAGATGATTAAGGTGGCCGCGGTGGAGAAGTTCAGTCTTCAGGAACATGAGAAGTTGTGGTGTCACTGCTGCGAGGAGGAGGTGCGGAGACACGTCAGTGATGGGAAGGTGACGGTGATGTATGGAGGGCTGCTGGAGCACATGTACAGGTAAAGCACTCACCCCACCCCGGGCTATCAGAACAAAAAAGCCCTCAATCAGATCCTGTGTAATTCATGTGTTCGGTTTTAAAGGGATGAGGTGGCCACCCTGTTACTGGCAGTGTTGTGTCAAACATGAAAATGGTTCTAAAGACTTGTTTTGGGATCCTTTCACACGGGTGTTCTGGTTTTTTTCATCTGTTCAGTCACGTTTGTTCAAAGAAAAAACGGTTCAGTTTACATCAGTTTATTTTTTTTCCGTCCGTTATGGGTTTTTTTTTTTCCACAGAAGAAAAAATGGGTTTTCTTCCATTCAAAAACCGGCTGTTAATGGATGCGGACATTAACAGATGTAAATGGATGATCATCCATTTATATCCACTAGCCCATAGAAATAGATGGGTGTCCATTTTTCATCCGTAAACGGACAGATGAAAAACAGACATAGGGAACGCATGTGTGAAAGAGGCCTTACTTTTAAAACGACAGTAAAGTGATTCTAAAGGCTTATTTTTAAAGAAAAAAATAACAAAGATGTTTGTTAGCCCAGATCCTCCCCTTTGGTCCCCCACCGGCGGTCTTGGCCCCTCCCTCCTGTCGGGTGCCCCACAGCAAGTAGCTTGCTGTGGGGGCACCCGCTGCTCTGTGTATCCATTCACACATGGAGCCGTGGTTTGGAACCCCCCACCCCACCCCATTGTCTCACTGGTCTGGTTGTGATTGACAGCAGTGGGAGCCAATGGCTCCTGCTTCTGTCTCAGCCAATGAGCAGAGGGAGTTCCAGGATAGCAGACACTCCAGTGCACTTTGCTGGATCGAGAGGGGGCTTAGGTGAGTATTAAAGGGGAGACTGGGGGAGGGATGCTGCACACAAAAGATTTTTTTCTATGCAGGAAGGTAAAAAAAAACACGAGCCTTTACAACCACTTTAAAGTCTACTTTTATTTTTTTAATAAAAGATGTTTACTTACCTGCAATGTTATAGCACAGAGCAGCCCCAACCCTCCTCTTTAGTGGTTTCCCCGCTGGCACTGTCCGTTCCTCTTCTTGAGTGCTTCCGCACTAAGCCGGGTACTTGTGGGGCCACACTCCCAAGTTGGGCTGTGTGTGTCCATAGACACACAGTGCAGCTTAAACCAGCTCCCTCCTCACAGGTTTTGTCTGACAGTAGCAGGAGCCTATGGCCCCCGCTGTTTTCAGTGAAGCCTGTGACTCTAAGAAGAGAGGAGAGTGGGCCTGATGGTGAGGACAGCACTGAATTGTGAGAGGTGGCAGGTAAGTGTTTAGGTGGAACAAGTAGTGGGGTGTTTGTTTACCTTTAAAGGGGTGGTAAACTCTTTAAAAAAAAAAAAAAAAATCCCCCTGGAAGGGAAAGGCATAGTGCTGTAGTATGCGCCACATATTAGCACATTATGAAAGACTTGCCTTAAAAGGAGGCCCTCCAGCAGACACTGTCACCACTGCAGAGGCTTCTATCTTCACTCAGTCTTACTTCCAGGTTTGCGGGCTGCTGCCGCTTGAATTGCCAAACTGCAATGATGTCACTCCCACTCATGCATGCGGGTAGGGAGTCTCAGCTGCGGCACACAGCTCTGAAGGAATGCCATGGGTATGCCGTTCCTTCAGAGTGAATGCTCCGGTGATATCACTGGCTGCTGCTCACTGGAATATCCTAAACGGTGAATGTTTAGGAGATATTCCTTGTATCTACAGGTAGGCTTTATTATAAGCTTACCTGTAGGTAAAAATAAACAAGAGTTTACTACTACTTTAATGCATAAAGGTAAATAAACCACCTAGACTTTAGAATCACTTTAATGCTTTCTCTGCATTAAAGTGGTTGTAAACCCTCACATATACCCAGTGCAGTGACTGGCCTCAGGTGATACACAGAGATGAAACAAATCCTCCCACATATGTTGTACCTGTTTATCTGTAGTCTTCTTTTCTCTACAACCATTCAAAGTCCAGAATGTATACAGCTTGTCTGAGATTCCAGAATGCAGGGGGCAGAGAGCTGACTGGTGGAAAGGAACACACTCCCCTGCACAAAGGAGCAGAGCTGAGGCTGTTGATCACAGGCTATGTGCTGGAGCTCCCTACCCATCACATTTTTTAATCTCTTGGTGTCTGGAAAACTTGTCAGAAGTGATTAATGCATATTGCAGAGGAACAAGGCAGCAAAGAGAAATGACACTTGGTGCTCTTGACTGAGACAAATACACACTAGAGAGGGATATGCTTTAATATTTCATGTCTGACGTTTACAACACTTTACGGTTAAAAAAAACACCTACTCTGTCCTACCCACTCATCCCAAGACACTTGCTTAACTCCTCTCACTAATCCAGCACTGTTTCTGGCTCCAGCAATACTCTCCTCACTTTCTGGTCTCATAGGAGACACTGAAGTCAGCAGAAGCCATAACGTTGTGCTGCTGTTAGTCAGATGTCTGTGAGGGGGGAGTGGCTTGCAGGCGCTGTATGTTTGTGGACAGCCCAGTTTGGGGTCGCCTGCGCATGGGTGCCCCCGTAGCACATGGCTTGCTAAGTGGGCATTCAAAGGAGAAAAAAAGCAGACCGTGCTGGCGCTCGCGTCACGCATCCCAGGAGGACTCGGTATGCTAGATCACATGCGCTGCCACGTTATCATGGAGCCAGCCAGTTCTTGCAGCCAACCTCATGATGAAGTGCCATGTCAAATGAAAGCCATCAGAAGACTGGCTGCAAGAACCCAGAAGAGATAACCAGCTCCCAATGTCATCTGAGAAAATAATGGCAATGTGAGACTGAGTGTGTAGCAACAGAAGAGCTGTGCAGCCCTATTTCCCTGCTGGAAATGCAAGGCATATGAGTATGTTTTTAGTGGATAACCCTGCGCCCCCACCCCTCAAAGTTTTTTTCTCTGATCAATTGACTGCAAAGTTCCATGTGGAAGCCAGTGAGTGACATCACTGCTGTATGTGGAAGCTGGCAGGTGACATCACTTCTGTATGTGATTCAGCTCTGTTGTTTGCTTTGTTTGCTCTCATTTACACTGAGAAGCTGGAACTTTGTGGTCATCAGAGTGCATGGAAAATCTTGCTGGAGTTCTTTACATTGCAGGTTATAAAATGTATGCAGGGCAATGTGGAGGCAACATTTTATAAGTAGGTTAATTTTAGCCTTTCCATTTTACTTTAACATGTATTTATTTTTTACTATCTGTAGCACTTAACTTCTGGAACTGAAATGGGAAGTAAAATGAAATATTTTCAAATTGAGGAGAAATTCCCTGTTAGGCAGTTGTCTTAAGAACAGCTGTCCCATTAGAAATTTTTTAATGGGGTTAAATACAAAAATTATTAAGAGAGAAAAAAGGTAAATTGTTGTAAAATATGTTGAAATTTTTTTTGTCATATCTCACAGTCCAGAACACAAGAAAGCGGTAAACAAATTTTGGTGGACACATCAGGCTGATAGGAAACTAAAGGCACATTTTTTTTTCTTTCTACAGAAGAGTTTGAAAGGTGAGTTATTGTGAGCTTGTGGGTCTCCAGTTTTTAAACATGAATTCTACCTTATCCTAAATTTGATAACATTTTACTGAGCTGCTTGTCAAGAAGACAATTGCCAAGTCCAAAAGCATTTAGGTTTTTGTGTAGTCACTCAAACACTAACCTAATTCCCTCTTCTGCTACTTATACCCGTTTTTTTTTTTTTTTCTTTCTTTTTATAATATGCAAGTAAGTGGGGTGAGAAGCAATGAATAACAAAATAACACACCATAGGGTTATAGTTCTGGCACTGTTATAGTGTCTGATTGCCACAGATTCAGCGCAGAAACGTCCAATTAAAACCTATTGGAAAAGATGAAAAAATATTAATTCACCAAGTAACAAGATGAATAATAACCCATCCAATGGAAGCAGGTTTATATATAACTTGAATGAAGCAGCAATTCATTAAAGGCTGCCTGGTGTTTTGCTATATGAATACTTAACCACTTGCCCTCCAGAGGATTTACCCCCCTTCCTGGCCAGGCCATTTTTTGCTTTACGGTGCTGGATTACTTTAACTGTCATGCAACGCCACACCCAGATGAAATTTACGTCCTTATTTTCCCATGAATTTAGCATTCTTTCGGTGGTATTTGATCGCCTGTGCAGTTTTTATTTTTTGCGCTATAAGCAAAAAAAAAACAATTTTGAGAAAAAGAACTATATTTTGGACTTCTTGCTATTAAACATGTCCAGTACATGTGCATTTGGATGTGCACAGCCATCCAAAGCAGTGTATCTGAGCACTGACACTGTACTAATGACACTGGACAGGAAGGGGTTAATGTGAGGGGTGATCAAAGGGTTAACTGCATAGGGAATGTTTTACTAGGGGGCGGGGGGGTGTTCTTCACTGTAAGCACACTGCTCGGGATTGCTGTACTGTGCACAGTCATATCAAGCAGTGTGCCTGAGCTGACAGGGAGAAAAACTGTTTGTAAACAAAACAGTCTTCCTTCCCCCGTCGGTGATTGTCGGTATTCACTGGGTTCCGGTGGGTAATCAGACAGTTACTGATTTGCAGGAAGAGTCAATGAACTACGAGAGAGCTCATCAGTATCTTTGCAGTTCATTGAAAACTACAAGCCACCTGCCGCGGTGGAAGACAGTACTTGTAGTTCCTTCATTTACAGATCCTTGTGAATGAATGACACGGCTGTGTGTCTACACAGTCGTGCTGTTTTTAAATTGTGGCAGTGGGTGTGGTGAGAGGGTCCTTCACCGACTGTCAGAGTAGGGGATTATGGAGGGTTGTGTGGACTGGAGCATAATAACAGGTTATATTTTACACCCTATGTAAGGATGTAACAAGTTATAAAAGATGAACCTATCCACTAAAAATTGTCTTTGTAATGAAAGCCAAAAGGTGAGCTACATACTGCTGGGTTCAAACCTGAAGTCCAGGTTTCCTGTCACTTTAAATAGTTAGGGCCAGCTTTAAGCAAACAATTTCCATTACTAAGTGATATGGCTGCAGTGTGTGCTGTATAATACTGTAGTAGTATCAGTTTGGTCCAAACAAACTATTTAAAGTGTTTAAAATACACTGTCATTATGTCTAAAAAAATTTAAACAATAAAGTTCTAATACTTACTAGTACAATCTTCATTGCAGCCAGTCTTTGCTACAAAACTACACCTGCCACTGAAATCCTCAAGATCTACCACTTCCAGGTGTATTAGATGCCTGTATCTCCCCACTGCTTGCTGTGGTTCCCCTATCCTGTCTGCCGTGTCACTAGAGTATCCATGTAGCAGAAGCTACAGTACTACAGCTTGATATTGAAGATTTTAGCAGGTGTTGACCTTGAATAAACACTGGCTTTATTTGAGGTAGCTCTGGTAAATATAAAGACCATGGGGGAGGATTACAAATTTAGTGCACACAAAATTTGTCAGAGCCGTGCATAGTAACCGATCAGCTTTCAGATTTTATTGTCAAAGCTGAATTGAACAATCTGAAGTTGGAAACTGCTTGGCTACCATGCACAGCTTCACCAGATTCTGAGTGCACCAGTTTTAGTAAACCTCCCCTAGTGTGTCCTTAACTTCCCCAGTGACCTGTTGTGCATGTTTATGGAAAGGTCTTTTGTAAGAAGGAAGATCTGGCTGATGCCCTATGTGTCCCGCTAGCTTTAGATTCCTCAAGCTGTCATAGCATGAAGAAGTAGTAAGCCGTAATTAGCAAATCATTAAATACATAGTGTATGTGAACTGCCTTACCTGTGAAAAGATTTATTTTAATTATGTTAATCTAGTCTTGTTGTTCAGACACACCCACTAAGAAGAATATCCTGGTACTGGACCACTATTGAGGTTATGTAGTATGTCTTGGTCCAGTACACAACAGCCGTCTGCTGATTGAACAGTGAAGATGCGTCCGCTTACCGATGAGGCATCGCTGTGCTCAGACTTCTTTCTTCTTATGTAAAATTGACAATAGTGCAGACTACAGCAGATGCTGACTGATTTCTTGTGCTGGCCATTCCCCCCTGTTCTGTGTGTAGAGGCTTACAGTGGCTTACAGGAAGTTTATACAGTATAAAGGCTAATCCATGTACATATGCTATGCATGGGTGTTTTTTTAATATAAAGTCTTTAACTGTCTGTAATTTCCTTTTGCAAAATTAAAACAAACACCTTCGTAATTCAGAGCAATCCAGAGAGATATATAATGCTTAAATATAAATGTAGCATAATGTAGTACTGTTAGCAGAAAACAGTTAATATTAAACTTCAATCCATCCTTTGCTGAACAATCAGAGTGAGATGTAGCATAATCCGACACTACAAAATTGAGATCCGTGCTAAATGTGAATTCCATGCATAATTAGTGCCGCCTCTGTGCTCTCAGAACTCTCACCTCCAATGCATGTAAAACTGCGTGTTTATTGAATCATCTCCACAGCTGATCACCATTTCCTTCAACCACTAGAGGCTATCCACTGCTCCTCTTATTCTTCTTTTGTGGTCATGCCCCAGGCCACCTGTTGATTGCACTTGCTTTAATTCTGGTTGGTTCTGCTAGTTGGCTAAACGGCAGAACCCCAAGGCTACCTTAACATCTACCAAATTAGAGGAGAAGTGGATAGCCTCTAGTGGTTGAAGGAGATGGTGATCAGCTGTGGAGATGTTTCAATAAAGACGCAGTTTTACATGCGTTTGGAGGTGAGAGTTCTGAGAACACAGAGGTGGCACTAATTATGCATGGAATTCACATTAGCACGGATCTCATTTTTTGGGTTTCGGATTACGCTACATCTGGAATTGAATGAACTTTACACATATATATATTTATTTATTAATTCTGAGCACTTTATTAGTTCACTCAATCTGATTGTTCAGCAAATGATGGCTTGATGTTTATATAATCACTGTTTTCTGCTAGCAGCACTACACCACACTATTTATATTTATGCCATATTGTGGGAACACAATTGATGGTAGCAGTCGCTTATAATTTAGCACTCATTAGGCGCAGTTGTTTGTTGCATTTTTATATATAAAGCTTGGAAGTCCATCCGTACAAGAGACTGTGCATAATCGTAGAGCTTCTTGTATGAAGAAAAGTACAACAGGAATGCAGTGAGGCTGTATGTATCAGGCTACAAAAATTATTTCGATCTCTGAGCTGTATGACTATGAGCAACGAAACAACTGAACAGGATTGGGAACACAATTTTAACATCCTCTGATAAGTTGAGGTAGTATGTGAAAAATGCCCCGTTATCAGAACTTGAATCCTGGAATCCAACATAGAATTCCCCTCATTAGCTAACACCTGAGGTCGGAACAAAAAAAATGCAGCATATACTTCAGCATATAGGCTGAGAAACCAGATGGGAATGTATTCTCCATAAAAGGGATCTCTCGGCGTGAAAAATTTCCGGCGGAGAAAGGAAAAGACTTGAGTGGAAATGGAAGAAGAGAAAAGGGGGAGCGGGGGCAATGAAAAATAGAAATGGGTTGGGAAGGGGGAAAATGGGAGGAGAGGAGAGTGCACCTCTGGCCAGGAAGCCTGAGTACAGCTGTACCAGAAACCTAACCAATCAACTGGCTGTCATGAATGTCTCATATCCTGATCAAAATAAATAAGGTCTGTATAATAGAACCAGGTTTTACGATCTTGTTCTCCAGTACTTAAAACGCCTAAAGACCTAAAACACTGTTTTGCAGATTTTCATACAGGATTGTAATGCAGTATATTATGAGGCATGACAGATTCCCTTAGCAGACACAGGTAGCTAGTATTGTGTTACCTGCCTATGACATCACTAAGATATTTAGTATCAGCAGCATGCTTTTCTTTTTGTTATGGTGGGTTAATTTATACCGTGAAACATTGAAAGTAATAATAAATATATATTCGGGATGCGTCAATACTTTTTTTTTTTTTTTGTACATAGGGTACAAGAACTGATACTTTTTTTGTATTTGCTGATACCAATTACCGATATCTGTCGACAACAGTTTTGTTTACAATTCAGCAGTCAGCAAACAGCTGAATGAGCGATTGGTTGTTAAGGACGTGGTGGCCCTGCTCCTTAACCACTTTGGCTCTCACACCTGTTCACCCTTTACAAACAAGGCTTTTTTCATTAATATTGTCTTGCAACAATGAGATTTTTTTCACAATCCTTAGACAAATGTAACAAATGTTTTAAAAAACGCACTTATTTTTTTGAGCAGTGTTAGTTTAAAAATAGTGTTACTGCACATAAAAAATGCACATTATATTCTGTAAATTGTCATGTTTAAAATAACACTAAAATTATGATTCTTGTACAAAGCATTGAGAATCTACAAATTAAATCAATTTATTTTTAAAAAGTTTTAAATTATTAATAGCTTATAAAATAGAAATGAACAAAAAATCAGCACAAAAAATAATAATTAATACTTAATAGGGCGGATTAGAGTAAACTAAGGGTTGATAAGGGGTTAAACAGAGGAACATTTCATTAAAAAAACAAAAACTTTTTTTACTTGACAGGTTGCTTTTAACTGACTTCATCTGCAGATTGATGTTCATCCCTTTGATCTGTAGATGAATAAACAGAGATACAAAATGAAACAATGATTTTTCTTTTTGTTCCCACCAGAGGATTTACCCCCCCCCCCCCTTTGTGACCGTTTTTGCTGTTTCAACTGGTAATTACGCAGTTATGCAATGATGTATCCAAACAAATTCTATGTCCTTTTTTTCACTCAAATAGAGCTTTCTTTTGGTGGTATTTTACTTCTGCGGTTTTTACTTTTTACGCTATAAACAGAGAAAGAACGAAAATTTTGAAAAAATACGATATTTTTCACTTTTGGTTATAAAAAATATCCAATAAACACAAAGTTAGTCATAAATTTAGGCCCAAATATTTTCTGCTACATGTCCTTGGTAAAAAAAAAAAAAAAATGTCAATACATGTATTTTAATTTGTTTGTGTGAAATTACCCCCAATGACCCCTTTTTGGAAAGTAGACACCCCAAGGATTTTGCAGAGAGGTATGTTGAGTCCATGGACCATTTTATTTTTTGCCACAAATTTTTTGAACATGACAATCCCTTTTTTTTTTTTTTTTTTTTTTTTTTTTTTTTACACAGTTGTCACTTTAATGATATATTGCTCATGCATGCCATGAGTATCTGTGGAATTACACTACAAAACACATTCTTCTACTTCTCCCTAGTATGGGAACATCACATGAGAGGCTTTTTGTCAGTCTAGCTACATACAGGCCCCAAAAATACAATGATCACCTCTAGGCTTTCAAAGGGCATATTTCCTCATATCACTTCCCCACTACCTAGCACAGTTTCGGAGGCCTTAAAATGCCAGGATATTACACCCCCCCCAAATGACCCATTCTTGGAAAGTAGACACCTCAAGGAATTTGATAAGAGGCCTGTTGAGTTACAGATTACATATATAATTTCTGTCACAGGGTTTTGAAAAAGAAAAGAAAAAATATATTTTTGTTTTCTTTCTTCATTTTCCAAAAACGTGGCAACAAATAAGATCTACAAAATATTCACCATGCCTCTTAGCAAATACCTTGGAGTGTCTACGTTCCAAAAAGGAGTTATTTGGAGGAGTTGCTTTTATCCTGGCATTTCAGGGCCAACATTAGAAGCTTATGCCACACATCACCCACTCTTGAAGACCAAGCCTTTTCTGACACTTTTTGTTCACATGAAAAAACTGTTTGTTTTTTTTGCTAGAAAACTACTTTGAACCCCAGAACATTATATATTTTTTTAAAGCAGAGGCCCTAGAGCAGGGGTGGGCAAACTTTTTGACTTGAGGGCCGCAATGGACCCGGGGGCCGGACCAATTGTAGATGAATGATGTGTATGTGTCATCCATAGTAAGCATAGTAATTCATCCCCCATAGTAAGCATAGTAATTCCCCCCCTATAGTAATTCATCCCCCCTATAGTAATTCAATTCACTTACCTTTGCTCCGCGCGTTCCTCTCGCAGTGTTCCCGCGCCATTTCGGTCTTCAGGGCGGACTGTGAGAGGAGCCTAGCTCCCCTCATGTTCATCACGCTGCCCCGCCTACACACATCCTGACAGCCATCCTGACAGTATCACGCTCCGCGAGCCGGATTAAAAGGTCCGTCGGGCCGTAGTTTGCCCCATTGCTGCCCTAGAGAATAAAACAGTGGGTGTTGAAAGTTTTTACATCACACAGTATTTGTGCAGCGATTGTTCAAATGAAAATCTTTTGGGGAAAAATACACTTTTTAGAATTTTAATGCACTAAAACACAATATATTGCCCAATTGCTTAATAAAATATAAAAGATGATGTTACACTGAGTAAATAAATACCAAACATGATATGCCTCAAAATTACGCATGCCCGTGCAATGGCAACAAAGTACAAACAATTTTATTATTGATAGGCGACGCTTTTTAAAAGCCTTTACAGGTCACCAATTTATATTTACACAGGAGGTCTAGTGCTAGAATTACTGCCCTTGATCTGACGTTCATGGCGATACCTTACATGCATGGTGCAACTGCTGTTACCGGCATGGGGCCAACGCTTGCGCACGCAGGTGTGCGCACGCGGGGGGCAAGGGTGCTTTTAATTTTTTTAATTATTTTTACACTGTCTTTCTTTGTCGTGTGGTTTTGTTTTGTTTTGTTTTTTTTTTAATCACTTTTATTGCTATCACAAGGGAATGTAAATATACCCTCTGATTTCAATAGGCATTGACAGGTATTCTTTTTTGAGAAATCTGGGGTCTATTATACTCTAGATATCTCCTCTGCCTTTACATCATCTGTTCTCACCATGATCGGTGGGATCAGATGCTTTCCCAATTTACAAATGTCGCTGTTTGTATCCTGCAAAACTGAAGTGATGAAATGCTTGTAGCTTCCGATTGCTTAGACTATAGAGGTGATTGGAGCCATTCTGGTATCATTCTGGTCATCCAGCGAATCTGCCGGCTGTGTTCTCAGATTCCCCTGTGGGACAGGAGAGCTCAAGAAAACTGTGGAAGGCTGCAGGAGGGGATGTCCCTTCCCTCTGCTCATAAAAACAATTCAGCAACTAATTGGCCACTAGGATTACTTTTACATGAAAGCTGACCCCCAGCTGACAAAAACAATACCAGGATGATGCCTGTAGCTAAAGGCATCATTCCAGTATAACCACTCAAAGTCCAGTTATATACCAGTACATTGCTGGTCCATGTTTGGCATAAATGTAACAGCAGAGAACACAGGCATACGATGAATCGGGTCTGTGGACCAATATTACCGTAATTCATTCTTCATGTCCATGTCGAGGGTTAGGCCCAAAAAAGTGTTACATTCAGAAACTGTGATGGGTTTCCATGCGAATTGTCTGGCAAGAGCTGAATTTGGGTGGGTGGCGATGTATTGTTGTGCGTATAAATTGCCTTTGCCCACAATCAGTTGGTACAAATATTCTGTGAAGGACAGCAGAGGAGCTAAATGCTAGTGCTGGCAGCGAACAAGCACTGGTATAGTTCTGTTCATGATCATTATATTGATCCGTACAAACAATATACTAGTAATGGGGGTGATCAGCGACCTATAGTGTGCTGCGGGCAATCTAGCACTAGCTGACCCTGGCTGGGAGGGGAACTAACTGACCCTGACGCTATCTGATGTCGCTAGTGGCAGGAATGCAGCGATCAGTGAAAAATTTTATATATTGACACTGTACTTATGGCACTGGCTGGGTGATGGGGCAATCAAAGGGATAAATGTGCTAATCTAACGTGTGTGTGTAAAATGCAGTGGTGCTTTTACTTGGTGCTGTGTTCTCTCTTCTCTCCTTGGACCGCCTGGGGGGGCGCAGGTGCATTCACACCCCAAAACAGGAACCGGCGCAAGATTACATCGCTTTGTAAGAGCTGCTGCCCGCCCGCAAAATGCGGGTAAGCGGTTAGCATGTAGTTAAAGAAACAATTTAAGGGGGGGGGGGGGGGGGGGGGGGGGGGGAGTGATCAGGGATTTTTTTTTTTTTTTTTTTTTACACTTTGCAGGAAAAATAAAGATCATTTCTCCTGCAATGCATATTTCTCCTTGCTGTCATGAACCTAACTCATTCATGAACAAGTTAGGTTTTTGACAGCTCAGGATAGTGTCTGTGATTGGCTGGAGCTGGTTACATGTGACAGCTGTGGGACAATCGCAGCTCACTAGGAGGTGGAGCAGAGCTGTTATGATGAGATTGATTCATAACAGCTTTGCTTACATTGTGATCACATGATCACCGGGTCCTGGTCACCGGGATCTTCACAACTGCTGTGTCTGGCAGACACAGTGGAATGGAGGAGTGGGAGAGTGCTGCGCCCCCACTCGGGTGCCCCCCTGTGTGTTAGTACTGCTAGAGCGACGTACTGGTACGTCGCTTTACCTGTAGCTGCCGCCCGGCTGCAGTACATTGTGGGCGTGAAGCGGTTAAAGTTTAATTACTGCTTGCTGGGAGTATGGAAATATTTGTACATAACCTGACAATGATTTCCTGCCCTGGTGATGATACTTTTACCAGTATGAATGGAAATCATCCTAACAGCACAGTGGCAGTAAAAACATTTTTTATATTATTTGGGTCAGGGAATTCTAGAAACTCTCTTTATTGCTGTTTACCTCTCACTTACTGATCATCAATATATTTATTGCATGTGTTCATGAATTTGTTCCATTGCACCTCCCCCCCTCCCCCATTCTTACCAAGTATTACTGATAAAGTTGACATGAACACTATTTGTGTGCCCCTAGGTTCAAATCTTCAGTAACCAAAGCTTTAGAGGGCTATGAGGAAATGGAGGACATTCTTATTAAACAGGTTGGCATATATATTGTAAGCCTAATGTTCTGCTGCTGTGTGTCTTGTCTCTTGACCTGCTGAAGTTTTTTTACTTCTTGCTTCCTTTTCACAGATGGCTGACCAGATTCAGAAGGTAGAGCAGAGCAGACGTGAAATACTACAGAATACCCTAGAGGTTTGTTAGAAAAGAACTACAGAACAGTATCCACCACAAACCAAAATGGTTACACAACATTGTTTCAGTGTACCAGATGTAAACGTTACATGCACATAGTAAAGTATCTTTTTACTTCTATTCTTGGAAATTGATACAAGTAACTAATGTGCTTGCCAGTCAACAGCTGCCAGTCTTAAAGTGGTATTAAACCCAAAACCAAAAATGTAATATATTGCAGCTTACTGACCCTTAGATGTTGCAAGTGCATTAATTTTCTTTATGATACTTTTTTTCCCCTAGTGATCTGGCCAGTAACCTACCTCCTGTCTGTATTCTGAATGCAGTATTAAAGCAGACAGTGGAGAGGGTAGTGTTAGGGCGCTTTCACACTGATGTGGTTTTTCTGCACCATGGGTGCAGCACAGTGTACCTGTGGTTTTCATGAGGGTTAGTTGCATTTTGCCATAGACTTCTTTTTATATCCCGCGGTTTATGGTGTGCTTTCTGAAAACTCGCCAAAAGTCCTGCATGTAGGAGTTTTGGTGCGCTTTTAGTGCACCAAAATCGCAGGACATAATAGAAATATATGGCAAAGCGCAGCTAACCTGCACAAAAACAATGGGTAAATTGCCCCCTCAGTGTGGGAAAACTGCACCACATTAGTGTGAAAGCGCCATTTTGTTGGACTTGACTAAAAAATTGAAGCTAATACTTTATAAGCAGTTACATCAAGCAGTTATTTTCTTTTGAAATAAAGGTTTTACATAAATGAATTAAAGCTGACCATTGTATGCACCTTTTTGTTGTCAAATGGTTAGTCTCAACCCTCTAGTTGCTACTTTGTCTGGACAGCGTCTTCTGTTAAAGCAAGTTGAAAAATACCAGACTTATTAGCTGAATCACCAGGTGAAAATAAAGGGAAAAAAAATCTTAAAAAAAAAAAAAAAAAAATAATCAAATTCAACCACCACATCTAAAAAAAAATTTAAACTGTAATTTATTACATTTTTGTTTTTGGGTTTACTACCACTATGAGCTCCCATTAACACTAATGCGATTTTCTCTGTATATATTGCGTCATTACTGTGCATAATATTGTAAATCCCATTATTCTCTATGGTGCCTATTTACATCAATGCAACATGGTGCAATGCGATTTTTGTGAAGGTGCAGATGCTTCTTTTGGGTGCAGCATAATATGTTATTGGCCTCATAGACTTTAATGGGAGTGCATGAAGAATGCATGTGCGTGCATTTTAGTGAGTTTTGTACTTAACAACCAGTCTCCTCCTTCAAAAACAAAGCATAAAACATCAAAAGAACTTGTAAAACTGCAGTGAAAAATGCATGAGTATGCAGTAACACTATTGTGAATCTGGGCTGAGGCCTGGCTCACACCTGTGCTTTTTGCAGAAACGCACTACAGGCCATATAACATGGTTTCTTATAGGGCTCATTTACATCTATGCTTTTTCAGCTGCTGTGTTTTTGGAAAGGGTCAAGGATTTTTTTTTTTTTTTTTTTTTTTTAACACAAAATGGTGCATATTGTATTCAATAGACTTCAATGGAGAAACTGCAGAAAAGTTTGTAGTGCATATTTGATGCATTTAAAATTTTTTTTAATCTGCCCAACAATAAATTGGCCAAAACAAAAAGCTTAAGAAAAAAAACTGCAAAAAGCATTGCAGAAATGGATCAAAACCAAGCTGCATAGATGTTAATCAAACCTAACACCCTAGTCACATCATGTGCGATTTGGCATGCGATTTTCATGCCCTGCGACTTGCAAATCACATGGCAAGTCGCACTCTATTGTCCGCAATTAGAGGTCATATCAGTGTGGTTCCAACTTGGTCGGAGCCGCACCAATTTCCAAAGTAGTGCATGCACTACTTTTGATGCGATTTGCATAGACATCTGTGTCAGATGTCTATGCAACTTGCACCTCACATCGGCATGTCACCTTACTTTGAAATCGTGCGACTTACATTGAAGCCGCACGATTTCAAAGTTGGGCTTGATGTGACGGGGGTGTAAGAGTACAGGCATGAAAAACTTGTTGGTGTCTGTGTGGAAAGAAAGAGACAGCACTGAGAGTTTATACTTAACAGTCAGGCTTTTTCTATTGTACATATTTTTATGAATAGTGAAATTTTTTACATTATGACAGATTCAGTGGTACAAGTGCGTGCTTCTATGCAGGACCTTTAACTGCTTCCCAACCACCCTATAGCAGAAATACTGCTACAGGGCGGTACGGGTGTGCAAAATCACGTGTATATTTGCCAGTAATTACCGAGGATCTCCGACAGTCAGCTCGGGCACACTGCTTTGGATGACTGTACACAGCAAAACAGTGAAGCACACAGACTCCGCCTCCTAGTAAAACACTCCCCAGCACACAGTTAACCCTTTGATCGGCCCTCATGTTAACCCCTTTCTGCCCAGTGTCATTGCTTTTTTTTTATCACTGCTCACTGTATTGGTGTAGTAGAGAACAAAAGAAAAGAGCGCACCAACCTTGCGCATTACCTCAGTAAACAGTTCATAAATTTATTGATAAATTATACTCACAAGCGTAGCAGTAAAAAAGGCATATAACATCCAAAACCAACACAGGGTTAGAAGACATGTGCGTGTTCCATCCGGAAGGGAGATTTACTCTTGGTCGAGCCGACTCGTTTTGAAGGGGGGGTTCCTTCTTCCTAAGAGCTAGTCACAGAGATAAGCCACCCCTAAATATAGTGTTTCTCTAGCACAGGGCCTGCCCTCGTGAGTGGGACAGCCGTGGGGGTGGGGTGTTTGGGGGCTAAATGTGTCACAACAAACATAAAAAACATATTATGATCACAAATGGAAAAGGATAAAATAAAAAAGATGATACTAATATTAGCGTAAACAGACATTGTAATTAAAATGAAGATGTCATTAATTAAAAGTTCAAATACTAAGTGGGGAATAAAGTCAACATAAGGATTGTAAGCTCCAAGGAGCAGGGACCTCCTGTCCCTCTTCCTCCTGTCCCTCTTCCTCCTGTCCCTCTTCCTCCTGTCTTCCTCCTGTCCCTCTTCCTCCTGTCCCTCTTCCTCCTGTCCCTCTTCCTCCTGTCCCTCTTCCTCCTGTCCCTCTTGTATTGAACGGTATTGTTGCTCTATTGTCTCCCGTTCTATTGTAAAGCGCTGAGCAAACTATTGGCACTATATAAATCATGTATAATATAAATAAGGATGGACACCTCAGTCCATATTAAACATGAAAATTTTAAATAATTATAAAGGGCAAAAAATAATCAAAAAGATGAGACAAAATCCTAATAAGTTTTTTGCCTTAAAAGGTCTACACAAGAGGACCTAGATTGCTGTCAGGAATGATCTGTTTTCAGTACTCCAATAATACTTGGGGGCCTTGTTATCTATTTTCTATGTATTTCTAATTCACAGGAGGCATTGTGCCACTGTGTCAGTGTTTGTCAGTTTTGCAAAACTGGCAGTGAAAAGGGGAATAAATACTGCAAAGAGCCTGCAGGTGGCGGTAGAACGCACACTGGCATCTAAAGCGCTAGTACGCTCCAGCCATTTTGGTGAAGGGCACACTGCAGGAAGGCAGTCTGAAATTGCACCTGCACAATCACTATCCACACCTTATGTGTGCTCAGGAATATGTGGTGAGAGGGTGAGTGGTATTGCAGAGAGCCTGTAGGTGGTTGTGGAACGTACGCTAGCGCACAGAGCCCCAATGCGCATTCGCTGTGCGCTCCAGCGGCCATCAAGGTGAAGGATTTCCCGCAAGATACCTCGCCATCCACACTAATTGTGTGATTCGGGACTCACAGAGCAGAGAGACCACACGGCTCCATGCAGCCACCCAAGCCTCATCAACCAACCAAAAGGCATGGGGTCGATGGTCTGAGCTAAAAAACCTAAAAATTTATGGTATTAATACTAAAAAATATATATAAATATATGTGTGCCAAGCATAACTTTATAATAATAATATAATAAAATAATATGAAATAAAACCACCTAAGTGTGCTTATGGATAATAATCATAAAAACGATCAAGTAATGAATAATACATAATAAATCAAATATAATAATAATAAATAATGAATGTTAAATCATAAAAACTATGGAGAAGGAGAACCCGACTTTAACACAGAGAAGGGGGAAGGGAAAAGAGGGCAAGTAAACTAAAAAATAATTTTGAGACATGTGGATGTCGTCCCCCCCAATGTCAGAATGTCCGCTACTGTCCCACTATAAGTCGCTGATTGCCACCATTACTATGAAAAAAAAATTTCCAGTATATATATACCGCCATTTGTAAACACTATAAGTTTCACGTAAACCAATTAATTTACACGTATTGGGATTTTTTTTTTTTTTTAGCAAAGACATGTAGCAGAATACATTTTGGCCTAAATTTATGATGAAATTTGATTTTTTTTTTTTTTTTTTTCTTACTGGACATGTTTAATAGCAAAAAGTCAAAAATATGTTTTTTTTTCTCAAATGTCAGTCTTTTTTTTTTTTTTTTTTTTTTCTATAGCGCAAAAAAAATAAAACCCGCACAGGCGATCAAATACCACTGAAAGAAAGCTCAATTCGTGGGGGGAAAAGGACGTAAATTTAATTTGGGTGTAGCGTTGCATGACTGCACAGTTGTCTGTTAATGGCCTGGTCAGGAAGAGGGGTAAATCCACAGGAATTTGAAGTGACATTTGTGAGGGTCCAGATGGGAGAAAAAGGAGAGAGTGCCAGTTAAAAGGGTTGGGTTTTTTTCTCAACTATCTGTGTTTACGTTTTACTTATCTAGAAAGAAAAATGTATGATTTGCTTTGCTCTGTGCTTGTGATTTCTCTGAGTGAATAGCTATGAATCTACCTACTGCTTGCATGTGTTTTACATAAAAAGGCCTGGTACTTTTTTAGCTAAAACTTATAAAAACAGATTTTTAAAAATAAAAGAAACTGTTAACATTTCCTGAATCGCATAGCTAATACAACATGATGAAGGAGCTGAGGAA